GTGTCTTAGTTCCAAGATTTATAAAAACCACCAAGGCTATTCTCTCTCTCTTGCCTAAGGCTAAAGGAAATAAGCATACAGGGTAAAGGGTTCGATATACCATCATATTATCTGCCTGTATTGGCAGAGCAAGTCAACACTGGGGGTCTTGGGCCATGTAGAATGCTAAGTACTTATGTGTCTATGAACACCCTATTCCACAGAGAACTGGAGGCAGGAGTGGAGTCTATTTGGCTGGTATTTGTTTTACAGGTTTTCGCAAAGAAGACTCTTGATGTACTGTGGGCCATAAACATGAGCATAAGTTTGCAGATGGGTTGGAAGATAACGGTGGGGACCCTGCACTGCGTCTGCCCCTGGTCACGGAGACAGACTCCATAGAGGGAAGCCCGCAGCCTCTGCACAGAGAGCCATTTTAGGAAGTCAACTTGGCCACTGTTGCTTCTTCAACGGAAGACTTTTAAATTCAATAGATAGAAACCATGTTGAAACTACCCAGCTGGTCTATAAAATACCATCATGAAAGAGAGAGCATGAAAGAAATGCATTGGTCTCTTTATTGAAAAATGCTGTGTGCATTAAATCTGATGGAATTTATATTACCTTTGTAAATTCCTTCGTTGCTTAGGTAGATGATTAACTCATTTAGTCATGCACAATATTTACTGAGCCCTTCCTGTACGCAGGCCATGTTCTAGGTCCTGGGGATACAGAGTGAAGAAGGAAGGAGACCAGAGAAACCGTGCTTTGTAAAAGTCTCATTCCAGTAAAATTATAAACAAGATAAAGAATGGAGAATGTGAGATATTGGTCACCAGGAGGAGCTAAAACTAAGGAGAGTCAAAGGCTGTAAAATACTGAAGATGGGACACTTACATTTCAGACAGAATGGGGCAGGGAAGGCTTCTTTACAAATATGGCTTTCAACTTCAACTTCACTTTAATTCAATGGGAAGTATACAGGCTTTTATATTGCTTCTGACCCAAGGGCCTTCAGTAGTCCTACCCTATCCCCGCGCCATTGCAGAAATCTTTCTGTCCAGCTGGGGCACCTAACTTCCAACTCCACCCCACACCTCCAGGCTAAGTGAGAGTCACCTTTCAGTACCCACCTAAAAATTACCCTTGCCCTAAGTAACCAGGACTAACTGAAAGGGCTCTTCTTACTTAGTGATGTAATTTTCACCAGGCCAACTACACACACACACACACACACACACACACGTGATTAATATAATCATGGCTACAATTACATGCAGGCACTATGCATACATTATTTCATTTACTCTTATATACTCTTATGTATCCTACTCGGATAACCCTTAAAGAATTAGTAACTTTCCTAAGCTTAATACCCAGAAAACGTCAAAGCCAATACTGAAACCTCTGCAGAGTATATCTCTAAGGCTAGCTCTTTCTCTGCATCCAGCTGCCTACCAATACAGTAAAAACACACAATGGAAGACATAAGGGTATGTGTGAAGAGTCAATCACTCAAAAACAGCTCTGCCCTTGAGCTTGAACTCAGTCTGCCAGGCCCAAGGCCCTCACCATCGAGATTCACAGGAGGGCCTTTTAAAGAGCAGGTATGTTCAGAAGTAGCTAATGCTCCTCAGCCAGTTACCAGGGAGAAGCCCAATGATGAAGTGGTTTAGAGTAGGATGTGGAAGAGTGTGCATGGAGATAAAACGCTGTAAAGCACCGGTGGGCACGCTGATACTATCGTCGGCACACTCAGCCGACCTCGTAATCAGAAGCAGTCACCTGAGATGTATTTTTGACTTCAATACAACCCAAGATCCTTAAAGGCTAAACTGTAATAATTCAGGGGTGCTTTTCTTTTTTCTTTTCTTTTTTTGTTGAGCATCTTTTCATGTCTATTGGCCATCTGTATGTATGTCCACTTTGAAGAAGTGACTTTGCCCATTTTTTAATTCGATTTTTTTGGTGCTGGGGAGCACTTTTCTTTATGGGGAAATATGTACGATTGGGAATATTTGGGGAAAAGTTCTTCAGAAAGTAAGTTTAACTCTGATTTAGCATTTGTTTGGGAATTGGCCATGGTGGGCAACAGGAAAAGAGCTAATTCCTTGCCCTTGCTAGGTGGCTCAGTTGGTTGGTATATCATCCCACATACCAAAAGTTCACAGGCTCAGTTCCTGATCAGAGCACATACTTGGGTTGCAGGTTCAATCCCCAGTCGGGGGCATATGAGAGGCAACCAATCAATGTTTGCTTCTCCCTCACATCAATAGTTCTTTCTCTCTTTTTCTTCCCCTCCCTTCTCCCCTCTCTAAAATCAATAAGCATGTCTTTCAGTGAGGATAAATAAATAAATAAAGCTAATTCATAAAAACAATCATCAAGACACAGCAGCATTTTAGCTATTTCAGAGTCCAAGGAGTTCATTAGCAACATTTCCACCATTCAAAGAAGCATGTATTTCTTGAGTGTTACTAAGTCACGAAAGATGCTGAATGCTTCTATTACTTCATTCAAAGAATGGAGATGAATTTAGTCATCAGAGTTTACGATTCCAAAATGAAACCCAACTTAATACTTTTTCTATTCAGATAAATGGGAAAAGTTCTCCTGGGTGTGGCATGCTTGTCTATTTATATTATACAAGATACCATCGGCATGATGATATACCTCCGTAAGGAGTTAAATAACAGAAACAGGGAGAAGATGTCTATCAGTTATGCATATTGAAATAATGCAGAATTTCACTTGGTATAAAATGATTCACCTTTCAGTTGGCTAAAGAAGTTCTGAATATCCAGAAAGTAAGAATTTAAGGACTCCACATTCAATGCTCAGTAACTCTTACGTGCAAATTATAGTTTAAACATATGGAATCTAGTGACTAAAGTATAATAGGATATGGTGGGTAAAATTATAGCTTTGGGAATCTTCAAACTGATTCAAACTCAGATCATTTACTAGCTCTACGATTGTGGTTTGCTTTATTAATCCATCTAAGCCTCAGTGGTGCTGATAAAGAAGACTGTGTTCAAAACCCGCTGGGTCAGGTGTGTTTTGGAATTCAGTTTTTCACATTTAGAAACACATCAAGGTATAAAAACCATACAGAAAGGAACACCCTCAGCAGGGTCTGGGGCAGCACCCTGTAATCAAACTCATTAACATTTCTGCTGGCAAATATAGGAACAGTAACACTAATGGGATGCTCTAGGGCTATAAATAGCTCCAAGTCAGTTCTGCTACCCGAGTTTGTATCAAACATACCAAAAAAAAATCCTTCACCCGTGGCTCAGACAGCTCCAGCGTCCTGACTTGAGTTGAACCCGAGGCTGGACCGACCGCTGCGCAATCGACACCAGCCTAGAGCCTGCGAAGGATGCGCACCAGGGAGTCAAAAAAAAAAATCCTTCAGAGATTTTTGCCTTTTGGACTTACAAAATAGAGGTATGTATACACATACAGAGAGAGAGGGGCAAGGAACTACTATTAGACTAGGATTTTACCCACAACGTGTTTTTTACAATAGTTCTCAACACTATTATAGAACACACCCCATACTGGCCAGAATGTGAGTTCCTTGAAGGCAGGAATCATTGCTTTGTTCATTGATAAGCCCCCGTGTGCTTAAAAGAGCATTAGGGTGCCTAGAAAGGGTTCAATAAATATTCTTTGAATGATTTATACCTCCTCACCCAGGTTTCCTTTGTCCAAGGAGAACTATGTAAAATGAGAAAACAATCCTTGGAGATGCTCAATTAGTTTTGCAAGGCAGAAGCAGAAAAGCAATCAGAAGTTCCCAGCAAAACACGAAGACTTAAGCCTTGCCCTGGCTGATATGGCTCAGTGGATTGAGCACTGGCCTGTGAACCAAGGGATCGCCAGTTCAATTCCCAGTCAAGGCACATGCCTGGGTGTGGGCCAGGTCCCCATTTGGAGGCACACAAGAGGCAACTACACATTGATGTTTCTCTCCCTCTCTTTCTCCCTCCCTTTCCCTCTCTAAAAATAAATTAATAAAATCTCATTTAAGACTCTTTAAGACGTAACTCTTTAAAAAAAAAGAGTTAGGTCTTAAAGATCAACATTTAATTCCCTTCCTATTTTTCTTTTAAATCACTGCATTTGGCAAATGAGTAATATTGGCATGATTTACTTCTGAATGTGACTTATCAGGAAAATCAACCATTGGCAGATTTGTAACTGGAATTCTACCTACAAAGTCGGTGTGTGTCAAAATGAACAGAAGCTCATGAACAATTTTGAGGAATCAACAAGCATGGTCTTCAGTCACCCACAGTGTGACTTTGGGAAGCAGGCCGACTTATCTACACAAGAAACACTTGTCTTATCTGCCAACAACAACAAAACAAATGTAAATCCAGTCTAACACATGCACTCACATACGCCACTACATTACAATTTGGAGTCTATATATTGGATTCCATCTGACAGTGAATGAACTAGGTTCCTACTGCCAAGTTTATTGAATCACAGTACAAAGTACTGTCGCGCATCCAGGCAAGAAATTTCCCTTTCTTAATCCCAGGCTAATGAGTGACACAACAAACAAACCAACCAGCAAAAGGAGAAAACTCTACCTGGAATTAGAGAAACATGGCCTCAAAATAAAATGAAACAAAATAACATTTTAAGGATCAAGGTGGAATAAATTCAAACGAGGAAAAATTGCACACCTCTCCAAGCATTGTAAGTGAGAGATGTCATGTTTGAAACAAGACAGAAAATCTTATTTGTGTGTATATTACCCAGGTGTTACTGTAGCTAAGAGTGGAAGGTGTGGGGGGGATAAGCCTTCTCCCCAGAACAGTCTGTCTATATTTAGAACTGTTCCCGTGAGACTATTCATATTCCTAAAGAAGCCAATAGGTAAACTAACTAACCATCTGGCCAAAAGTACTTACAGCTAAGTGTGTCAACAACTGTGACAAGTCTGCTGTTAAGATCTAAAGACAAGGAACAGATCCTGAAATTGGGATCTCAAAAGCGAAGCTTACCCGGCCAACAAGAATCGGTTCAGGTCCAGAAAACTCTTCCAGGACAAACATTTGATTCCAAACCCAGCCTCTTTTGGAGCGGCTCAAAATCCGCTGTTCTTCACTCAGCCTGTTTAGTTCCAAACGGGATCCACTCATTAAAACTTGAGACTGATTCAGCGGAGCCATATAAATGCAAGGGGGAAGAGTAATCCATAATATCATTAGTGGAGTCCACAGATCCAAGAGCATTTGCGCGAGCCGTTCTGGCATGGTCCCACCAGTTAAGCAAATCACCACGAAAACGAGACAATTACTTGTTTTGCCTCCGGTCTGCAGCCATCCAATTCATCATGCAGGGCCGAGCATTTACTTACAGGTCTGCCACGTGTTCACAGGACAGGACACAGACATCATCTACACTGAGTTTCTAAGACCAAGATCCATTGGCTTCCCTTTTCAATGAAATTTCCTGCAGAAAAGAAAAGGAGGAAGAAAGATAAAAGTCCACTGAAACAGATTTTAAAATAAAATTACTGCTTTTCAAAATCAGGTAAATGATCAATACCAGACATTTCCTGAAACTTGAGTTAGGAAAGTCAATCTGAGGTATCAGGGCAAGTAGGCTAATGAACAGGTCTTTTTATTTTTTAAGCTTTATTTAGATTTTAGTGTTAATATTTTATCTGTTACTTATCAAAAATTGCTTCGAGTACAATATTATAATTTGGCTCCTCCTTCCCTTCCCCCCTCCCTAACTCCCTCCCTCCCTCCCTTCCTTCCTTCTTACTCTCTTCCATCCCTTCCTCTCTTTTCTTCTGTTCTTTATTTCTAATGCAGGCTGGGATGTGGGGGGACAAAGCCCTCTTGTATTCTTCTAGAGGTCTCACATGCCTCTCCTGTTTTCTTCTTCCTTCTTCTCCTCTGCCTTTCCCTCATTTTCTTTACCAGTTTGAACATTGGTTCTAGTTCACTTTATGCTGAGCCATGTGAGGAAAGTAACTTTATTATTATTTTTTTTTAACTAGGAATGAGAATGGGAAGGTAAATTTCCCCAATTTTTACAGTCTGAGCTGCCACAACCCATGAGAAGGGATCACCGAGTTCGGGGTACAGAGTGCATTTCTCCACCAGCATGCTAATAATGAGTGAATAAAATTAGAACGCGCCCAGAGAGAAACTCTGTAATGTCCAGTGTGTGTGCTATAATCAGGATGGTGTCAGGACTCCCATTCGAAATGCACAGTTGTGCTGGAGATTTAAATTATGAAAAGCTCCTTTGGGAGTAGAATATGGTAAAAATACAATTTTCAATTGAAGAGATTCAGGATGGGATGGGCAAAAAATATATATATATCCCCATTACCTCAGGTGTCAAATACATTTTTTTGCTTACCTTCAGTGTGGCAAAATGTGTTTCTCCCCTTTCAAAAAATTATTTTTAAAGGAACAATGTTCACTGCAGATCCCAGAGAGAAGCCTTGCTGAGTTAAACTCAATGGAAAAAATAATGCCTCAGAACGCCACTGGCAATGGTTTGGCTCAGGGAATTCATAATGGGGTGAGGAACCTTTCCCCTGTAGGTCCCTGGTTCCATTCTGTCTCAGGGTGAGAAAGCCAGAAAAGGTACCGGCGAGACTCGTCAGGGTGGGAGCGAGGCCGCCGGCGGCAGCGCGCAGACCCCCGGCCTGCGGCCAAGGCGGGCAGCGCCTGGTATCCTCGTCACACGCTGCCCGGGCTCAGCTCGGTCCCTGGGACTCTGTACCCCAACAGCGGCTCCACCCCAAGGGGTGACTTCAGGAGCCCTGGCAAGCAGCGGCTGTTTTGAGAGCCGAGAAGACGCTTTCCATAGGGAACCGACTCAGAGCAGCGTCCGCCTCTCCCTAGAAGGGCAGCGCCCTCGGGGAGGGCAAGCCTTCCTGCGCTGCATGTGTCCACTAAGAGCTCCTCTCATCCCAGCGTGAGAACCCACCCTGGCGGGCTTCAGATTTAAAACAAAACTCAAAAGGTCTTGGTAAGTGATCCCCAAATATTAAAATGTTTCTGAATTGCCAGTCCACATGTTTACTCGGCGTTGGTGACGGCACACACGTCACAGGCCACGACCTCTCCGGTTTGCGCTGAAGAAGGACTGCGGCGATGCGGCGGAGCGTCGGCTGTGGGGGCAGAAAGGCCTGGGTTTGAGCCCCACCTCTCCCACTGGCCCCTGCCACGATGGAAGACATGCTGGAGTTCTCTGAGCGTCTGCTGCATCTTCTGCAAAATGACAAGGATGATTCCAGCTCTCCGGGCAGAAGGGTGATTCACAAACAAGACACACAAGACGCAGCCCCCACGCGGGGAGCGCTCACCGCACTCTCAGGTGGTGCTGACGTGGCCCCCGCGCTGGAGGGGCCTTGGTAAGAAAGTGAGATGAACGCGCCAAGACCTAAGCTGGGTGGCCCTGCAGGGGACGTTAGCCAGGTCCCGGGGCGACACAGAGGCAGTCGCAAGTGGTCCTAAGGCGGGATGGGGGACGTGGGGGTGTGCCGATGAGGAAAGGGCTGGACCGTTTTATACCCAAGGTGACGCTCGTTCTAGTCATGGAGACTCAGCCCCAACGCTGCTCAGGGAAGCGAGACGTCTCCTCGCTACAAAGACACGCTGCTGCGTGACAGGCCTGACCTGAATGCTCAAGACCCCTGCCTGGCCTGAGTGCGAAGCCGCAGAGCCGTGAGAAGTGCGTGATCGTTTCTTCTGGGCATCATCAGCCTGCCGGGGATTTGGATTCTACTTAAAGAACTACGCTCACCGGTTGTATAACTGGGGGCCAGTTAACAACAATAATAACTATAATAATACCTACCCAGAGGGTTAAAAGATTACAATCCTGGTAAAGCTATTAGGAAAAGCTGGAAGGTACCGTTGTTTTTAAATTGTGCCAAATCCTCTGCAAGTACACTCTGGCACCTGCTGTGTTGTTAATGGTTCGGGGATAGGGATGTTTAATCCCAATTTAAACTCATAATAGACACTTGTTTGATGGAAACCGTCAAGTAGCACCCAGGGTGAAATGTGGCATGATCGCTGTCCTTCCTGAACTTGCCAGAAGCAGGTAAAAAGTAATAACAGACCCTGAGACAATTTCATACAAAGGCATAGCTTCACTAGTCAGAGAGAAAGGATTAATAAGTATATGCAGAGGGCAAGATAATATCCATTAACACAATATCTTACAATTAGAGAAAGCTCAGTATGCCTTGCACTGTTTTGTTCAAAACTGAGGCACTGAATAATCAAATGCCTTGCCCAAAGAATACCTCCAATAAGCAGGTCATTATTTCAATCTAGGTAATCTAACTTCAACATTCTCTTTCTTACCACAGCCCTTACTCTCATCATATAAATATCTGATGAGCAGAGTACTGTATGCCCAATACTGGGAATAGAAAGGCAAACAGGTCAGAGAGCTTATCTCCAGGAAGCGAGTCTAGAGTGTAAAGCCTGAGACATATATACCGACAACACCCAGTGAAACAGAGTCTGAGAAAAGGGAGGCGCACAGACAGTGAAGGGCGGGACACTCGTCTTGGCAGCATGCAGTGGGCTTCCTGGGGGGCCGTGTCATCTACATGTTGAGACGTGACTACCCAACCAGGGAGGGGTAGGTGTGACAGGACATTTAAGCTGAGCAACGGACAGGAACAAGACCCCTGACTAGTCCAGGATCTCTGAATGAATCAGAACCTAGCGTAGTTTTCACGCCATTAACTTACTAGCTCATCCTGTCCATGAGCACAGCATCTTCTCCCTAAGCACCACACCCACCCCAGCCACGGCTGCTACAGAGTACAGGTTGACTAGGGTGCTTTCCTCGCTGCCAGTTCTTTGTGAAGAGAAGAGCGTGTTTGATTTCTCCAAAGCTTTGGGACTAAAAATACATTCCCTCCCACAGAGAGGGTATGGGAGGCAGATGAGTGCTATTCCAAAGCAACCCCTCATTTTTTAGAGAAAGGGGGAGTGACTTGGCCAGCGTCCTGTAGTCAGTGGCAGAGCCCTGGCAGACTTCCAGGAAGAAATTAGCCCAACTCTGCGGGGACCCTTCTGCTTCTCTACTGGTCATTCCCACCACGCCCCCTGTGCAAAGCTTCTAGCACTTGAAATACTCCTACACCCCTTCCTCAAATATGGCCATGTTCGTGAATCACTTGTACTATCACTTTAAATTTTATTGAAACAGTTTCTTAAATATTTACTTAAGAATGCAAAGCCAATAAAATTTTCTGCAAAACATAAAACACTGAACAATTAGAAAATTTGGGGGTAATAATCCATCAACAAGATAGACTAGACACACTCACACACATACATAGCAAATGTGTGGATATGGTAAATCATCAAGAAAGACTAGATACAAATAGGTATCTGCACACAGTAGGTGTTACACACATGTACATATTTATAGCTACTTTTCAAAATAGCTCTATAAGTGTTACTATGACTTTAATATCATCATTCCCATTTTAGAGAAAAGCAAACTGAAACAAAGAGAAATTGTATGATAAACAATGTTTTATTTCCACTAACTAGACACTGTCAAAGCCCAGGGTCACCTCTCTCTTCGTTAAAAGGGCAGACCAGTGACAGTTAAGAGGCAAGAGTGTGCTGTTAAATACATAATAACTAGCTCTCGAAAGAAAAATAGAAGAATGACTGATTTCTGATTTCCACGGTACAAATATCTTCACCATGACCAACTTCAGCGTAGCATGACCACGAACCAGCTCTGGGGCAGTCCCTGCATACTCAGCCCTCAGTCCTGAGGCGTCCAGTAAGAGTTACCACCAGGACGCCCCGCATGGGGGCGCTGCTCAAACTTTAGGAAACATTCAAGTCACCTGGCACTCTTGATATACTGCAGATTCCGGACCTGTGAACCTAGGGCAGGGGCGTGCGATACTGCATTTCTAAGCATCTCTCCTGTGACGCAGATGCCACTGATCGGAGGACCACCGTTTGAGAGGCAGGGGGTTCCAGAGAAGAAGACCAGCTCCCCTTTCAGATCGTGTCATTTTGAGGACTTGAAGGATTCAATGGTGCGACGGTGGGAAAATCGCTTCCTGTTCATGTCATTTGAAGCCATGCCCATTGACTATGTACCGTCCTGTGTGTATGAGACCACATGCATATATCAGACTTTTGGAAACCCTGCACTTAAGTATATGAATATATAGGATTCGGTATGATGTCAGAATATTCCCCCCACACTTCATATCAACTTCAGGAGGGACACG